TTTTTAAATTTTGTTTTTAACTGTTTATAACCGTTGTATTTCTCTCAAGCTCTCGAAGGATATAACATATTATCTCGTCCTATGCGCATCCTGATTACAACTCACTGAGCAAATTATTTGTCTCATAGCATTAACTCTAACACATTTATTCTTCCTCTCTAGTTTAGTGATTAATATTAACAACGTAAGTTAGAATTCACAGGTGATTGTTTTCTAACCCAAGAGGCCGAATAGTCAGCAAACTTGGCCCCCTGACCTAGAGGTCACAGGTCCTATCTATCCCTAATGGGTCACGGGTGCGTGGTGCCGAAGAGTCCGAAACAGGGAGGAACACCTATCCAATACTTTCTAGTTGTATTCAGTGGTTTTCTAACCGATATCACCTAGTGATCAGACCTTAAAGGAACCAAATAAATCAAAACGAAACCTGGTTTATTCACCGAGTCATGATACTTTGGAAGAGTAGCTACGTACTCTGAGGAGAATCCTTCTCGAAAATGGCTACCCAGAACTTTTCGTCACAAAATCTATGAAACCTAAACCATCCACACTTTCTGCTTCCAAAAAACTTCGTAACCTGAATCTAAAATTCAATGGAGACTCTTCATCAGAAATACTGAGAGGTCCATCCAGATGTCACGTATGAGGATGGATGTCCAATCAAAGACATTGGTTGGTGGTTGCGCTAAATAGCGAATTGGTAGAAGTTAGAATTCATGCATGGGCTAGCAAATGAATTGGGTACCAGTGGCTGAATGGTATACGAGCTTGCCTTGTAACTGGAAGGTCCTGGGTTCAAAGCCTGCCTACTGCCGATGATTCCCAAACTAGGATGAAACAGCTGTCCAGTACTCCCTGGTTTTCAATGGTTCTCTAACTGATATCAATCCGTGATCAACTCGTAAAAACAAAACTAATCCTTCCAAACCAAACTGTAGAAAATACTGAGAAATTGCCTGTTCGGTCTATTGAAGGAAACCTTCGTGACTGAACTTAGACTAATTTAATCTACGAAAACAATGATTCGTATGAAAGTTAAGGATAAGCTACCACTGTTAGGGTCATCAATGTACATCTATAAATTCACCTGCTCGCGTGGGGCTAGCTAAGTAAGTTGGCCGTACCCAGCGTTTGCTATCCAAACATATCATGGAACACCAACGCACAGACATGGCTTTATAGAGGAGAAAATGGATTCTCCAAGCAGGTCGATTCTCAAACGCTGATCAAATCAAGACATCAACCAAACCCACAAAGTAACTTCAAAATCATCTACAGAATAATTGGGAATCTTGTTAAAAGAGTACGAGTCAAACTTCTTCAAACCGAGGAAGCAATGGTAATCCACACGCTAAATCCTGAACTCTGCCTACAGTGGACCTGATGTATCTTAACACCAATTACGTAATTTTTGTTTCGTTTTTTTGCCTGTTTGTTTCTAAACTGTATAATATTTTCTTCCCTGCGTCGCTTATTACCACTGTCGTTAACTTGATTTTTGTTCATTTTTAATTTTAGTTGAACTCTACTAAACCCCGTCGTCAATTAGATCATGTCACTCAACTTGCTTGTTTACTCTTATTTTAATTTATAACCAATTAACGAAATTTGCTATCTAACATTTACAATTCTAATGAAAAATCTTTGGAAATATTGATTTTGTTGCTAAGATAATTCATAAGTAGAAACACAGTTTTTTTGTTCAGCGAAGAAATTTCTTTTCAACAACTTCATTTTCAAGCTGTACAGTCGTATTTATATTACAGAAAAAGTTATTAAGTGGCACTAAATAACTGCTCAGTCAATATGCATACATAAGTTGTAAGCGTACTCTCTGAAAACGTGTAGCTGAACACTATCCAGTCTGGTTAATGAAAGGCGAATGTAGAACTGCCAAGTGGTCTATTTGTGATCACCTGTAAGAGTCAGGTCATTTAGCCCCACGTGATTCATCTTTCAAAGTTATCTACACGGCGAAATCGAATCGATCCAAAAGTTTACGTTTTCTCCACTTATGCATAGCTGAAGCTTTAGCTGTACATGAACAGAAACCTAAATTATGTGTTCAAAAACGTTTTGTCAAACCCCTTTCTTTACCTTGGTCATAGTAATGTTCTTTCTAGTTTTTATTTTATTGTATTTTACCACTTGAATTCTTTCCACCACTTCACTTCACATCTTTATTCTTATCGTAATCGTACTCCTAATTTTTAAAATTTTTAGACAACACTTGACATTTTTAAAACATTTTTGATTGCAATTCACTTATGAAACAATCTTTAATAATTTTGTAATTTATCCACTTCAACTCTACCCCTTATAACATTTTAATCATCGTTATTCTTATCGCTTATATATGTATATTGACTGAGCAATTATTTAGTGCCATTTAATAACTTTTTCTGTAATATAAATACGACTGTACAGTTGGCTTGAAAATGAAGTCGTTGCTAAGATAATTTACTATGCATTTATTCGATTGTGCAGATTGAGAATGATATCTCCAAAAATAGAGGTAATTCCTCTCTAAACGCCTTTTCTTTTATAGAAATCCAAATTTTAAAGTATTGGTTTTTGTAGGGATTTAATTTGATTGGATGGAGGATTTCAACATGAGCTGACATCGGTAAGAGAACCACTGAAAAACAAGCTGAGAGTACTGGATAGCTGTTACGTCCTAGTTTGGGACTCTTCATCAGTACGAACCCACCCTACTGAGGTTCAAACCCAGGACCTTCTGAAACCAAGGCTAATGAGCTAGTAGACGGCTGACCCACTGCGAACCGATCCAATGGCCCATGAATTCTAACTTCTGCTAAATTCCCGACATAGCGCGACCATTTCGCACTGTCTTCTTCGATGAGTTACTGCCTCATCTTCCTGCTCATGATGAAATCCGCCATCCAATCAGAAATCTAAATCTGTATAAACTAAATCTTATAAATTAACAACTACGATTATGAGAATTTGTCATTTTTATGAAAGGTAAATTCTACATAAATTCGATTGTACAGAGAAAGAAACTCAATGTGCTCAAAAAGAGCCTGTTCGTTGAACTGTGTCTTATTTTTCCATTAACCCTACTCAAGCTTAAGTAAAACGATCCAAGGAACGTACTCTTTTAGGTTTGCACAGTCTTTTATGAACACACATAATCTATCAGTGTGTCGGTGACACAGCTGTAGAATGCTTGCGAATCACGCTGGTGGTTCGGGGTTCGATACCTGGCCACCGACGCACTCCTATACCTCACTAAGCCAGTAATAATAAGACGGGTAAAGAGAGAAGGTTCGGCATGAGACTAACAAACCCATCCGGTAAAAATAAATACCACTGCTACCGAAATTCTAAGCCCCTAGCTTGAAGCCTTATGTTCCATTGAAAACGTAAAGGAATAAAAAAATATATCAGTGAATATTAGTCAAAAAGTTAATGTAAGCGATAGAAACATTCTACCTTTTTACAACTGGGGGGGGGGGGGTATATAGGGCTTTAAATTTAACCTTCAAAGTATGAATAGCAGTTATATATGTCCAAACCAAGTCCACTTAGAACAGTTGAAACAATGTGGGTATTGGATATATGATATTCATTATGATAAAAAATGATTTGTATTTTCCAATGAATGAAAAACAAAACGATGTTCTTGTGTTTACTGACGTTTCGCTATTCAATGCTTCTGCTAATGACATTATCAAGGCAGTAATATTAAATCAGAATTTTTAAAATCTCAGCTTACATACATAACAACTTAATCATCGTTCTTCACTATGGGGGCATTTCTGCGTTGTCAAATCGGTCAATTGGTAAAGATCATAAAACCATGTGTCGACTGGTGGATTTGATAAGTGTATAAAATTATAAAAGCAGTGTATGTTTACATAGTGAAATTGCTTATCAATCACATTCTTGTTGATTTTATCATTTCGTATTCCGAAATATGGACCTCAACAGTTGTCATCCCATATAGAGCAGAGACATCAGACGATATCAGAAGAGAACTCAAGAAGCACAATACCAGAGTTTTCTTTAAAACACCAGACACACTGTGAAGCAACCATGTACACATAAAAGATTAAATTCCTAAAAATTCTCTATCTAACTGTGTCCATTAAATAAACTGCTTGGAATGTGATGAGATATACATCGGACAAACATCGCCAGAGAGAGAAATCAAGATCAGAAGAAGTGAACACCGTAGAGTCGCATCTGTTCGAACACCAAGAAATCCAGTTGAACTAGGAAAGCTTGAAAAATCATCAGCCGGCCATGCCTTGTCTACACGCTATACAATCAGGCCACAATACTGGTTTTGACAATTTTGAAATCATCATCCAGAAAAAGCCTTTCAGAAATCACAAAGAATGTCTAACATCAGAAGGCCTTCATATCAAATGGAATAGGAATGATGAGCAAAAATAGAATTTGACCTGGTTACAACAATTCCTTCCCTCATGAAATGAAAAAAACACTAATTTGATGATCAATTTCACGATGTAGACACACACTGCCTTTTATAATTTTACACACTTATCAAATCCACCAGTCAACACATGGTTTTATGATCTTTACCAATTGGCCAACTTGACAACGCAAAATGTCCCCATGTTGATGAACGATGATTAAGTTGTTATATATGTAAGCTGAGATTTTGTAAATTCTGGTTTAATATTACTGCCTTGATAAAGCCATTAGCAGCAGTATTAAATAGCAAAACGTCAGTAAACACAAGAATACCGATTTGTTTTTCATTCATTCATTGGGAAATACAAGAAAACCTTTATTTCTTACAGGGTAGGCTTGTTAGCCTCACATATCTAACCTTCCCTCTTTTCTTCGATTCCTATCGACTAGTTGTCTAGCCAAGTCAAGTAGGATTCGAACCTAGGACCATGTGAATGGTTGGCGAACATTTTACTTCTACACCACTTAGAGAGAGATGCGATAAGAACATTAACGAATCCAAAATAAAAGTTAAATACAATAGTCAAAAAACTCACTTGATAATACAACAGGCGAATTTGTCTCGCTATCCGTTTAGAAGCGAATCCAATACAAATTGATTTACACATACATATAATAAACATGAATGCTGCCATTAGTACATACCATCCCAATAGGCCATAGATATTACTACTTGCGTCGTTAGCAAACATTCCATTAATCATTGTACGAAAAATAAGTATCGAAGTGGGAAATGATGCACCCAATAAGATTGCAGATACATTACCAATAAGTACTAGAGATTTGTCTGTTGTAGTTGAATATTGAAACTAAACGCATAATTAAAAAAAGCAAACGAATTTATCCTCTCCACGGATTAACTTAGAACTTACCAGTTTGCTAAACGAATTTTCATTCTTCGCCTTGTCATTATTATTATTACTATTATTAAACATAACAGAAATAATCATTACAAACAGTATGATACCTGTCAGCTTTCTGGATTATAGAAACACTCGGTTCTGAGGATGACTCAACAGCAGCATCCATTACAACAAACTAATCCAGAAATGAAGGCGTTCAGTTCTGGGTTTATGGTTTTGTATTATTATACTGTATATCTTAAGACAGCTTTTGATTGGTTGAATCTGAAAAGATAACGATCAATGATTGGTTGGAGGATTACAAGCAAACACTGCTATATTATTGGCTTATTTCAGTAAATTTATAGAAAGACACACAATCACGTGTTGGTTTAGAGGGATTTGATTGGTTGCAGACTTTTCATCATTAGGTGAAATCAACTGGAGAGAAACAGAGAGAACCAGGAAGTTACCGCCTACCTCGACAACAGGCAATGTTAACTGACATAGGATGGATCAGGTTGAAAAAGAGCTAGTCAGTGGTGGTCAAACCAAAACATGGCTTCATCAGTCAACGAAATCCACAACAGTTACTTTAAGCAAGAGAGTCACGTAGGAAGGTGTAGACTGCCTGACTGGCTGGTTGGGGTCCTCGGGACGGTAAAAACCAATGAAGGCTGAACACAACTGTTGGTGATATGGTCCAAAGTCCTCGTTCTCAATCGCTGGCGCAGATGCATCCGCTTCTTGTGACTTATAATGCTCAATAAAAATATATTGTTCTTCCATATCACTATTTTTTACCTCACATCTCTGTTTATTAACTCTGTTTTGAATCTCCTTTTACTTTCTTTTCTTGCTTTGTGTACTGAGTGAAATGTGGCAAGTCCAACTGCTGCACACCAGTCAGTCAGAGTCATTGGAACAGGTCCCAGTGGCTGGATGGCCTCCGAGCTCGCCTCGTAATCGGTATGTCCTGAGTTCAAATCTTGGCTATTACGTACTGATGAGGAGTGCTGAACTGGAACGAAACAGTCTGTTGTGTAAACCAGTGTGGTGCGGTGTAGACCAAAAAGTTAAGACACTTATCGAAATTATATCAGAACATTATAGGTAGTTCAATGAAGGTATGAAAAAATGGTCTGACACTCTTTTGACTGAGTTACTGGAACCAAATTTTTCAAAACAGATTATTATTTTATCATATTTTATAAAAGTCCTTTATGCAAAACTGAGTGAAAGGACATTATAGGTTTCAACACGAATTGATATCAATTGGCGATCATTACAAACCAAGGAGGGCTGGATAATTGTTTCGCCTTACCTTAGGACTCTTTGGCAGTATGCATACACCATCCTGCTCTTAGGGATTGAACTACAGGCCTTCAGGTTACAAGATCAACGCCTTAGAATTTTAAAATATTTGGTTCCCTTGATAAATTTCGATAGAGTAAGAAACACCGGATTGGCAGCATAAAATGATATCATCATCATTCTATTTCGCAGGTTCTCATCAGCTGCACATCACTACCTCAAATTACTTCAGTGTTTGAAAGGTAAGAGGAAACAGCATAAGATGAATGCATCCGGAATATAAGTATTGCAACTTTTAGTTTAAGTTATCATCAATTAATATGCTATCAAGTTATATATGTCCAAACCAAGTTCACTTTTAACGGTTTGAAAAAATTTGGGCATTGGGTATATGGTATTCATTATAATAAAGGTTTTCTTGTATTTCCCAATGAATGAAAAACAAAACGATATTGTTGTGTTTACTGACCCTTCGCTATTCAATGTTGCTGCTAATAGCTTTATCAAAGTAGTTATATTAAACCGGAATTTACAAAATCTCAGCATATATATGAGAATATAGACTTAGGTCAAGTTAAAGGGACATATTGAAAGTCAAAATAACAATGAAGATCACTAAACCAAATAACAAAGGTAATAGTACATCTGTTATGATATCAAAATAAAGTTTACTAACTTGATCATCGTTCGTCAGTCTGGGGGCATTTTTCGTTGTCAAATTGGTCAATTGGTAAAGATAACAAAATCAAGTGTGGATTGTTGGATTTGATCAGTGTGTAACATTATAAAAGTAGTGTGTGTTTACATATGCTATCAAACTATGAAAAATGTGGAAGGGGGGTTAAGTGAAGACAAAACAGGAAAATCTAATAAACAGTGTTAGCTTCTACGTCTACATAGCAACTCAAGAAGGTTAAAGTTTGTCAAATTGAAAACTTGCTCAGTGAGCTGAGCTCACCAATATGTATGACTAATCAATGTAATCTAAGTGATACGGTTACCAAGGGATTGAGAGATTCATTACACTCTCCTTCTGTGTGCATAAGTTTCGTCTGAAACGCTTGATTGCAATTGATTCAGCAAATTGTAGTAAATTCGCTGTCCTTTGTTTGTTTACTATTTTAAAGGATTTGGAAATCTTGACAAAATGACCCGTATCCATGAGGTGTCTGGTAATTGCACTTTGTAAATATCTGCTTCCTTTTAGGCATAAATTTCTTGGAATGTGTCTTGAAAACTGGTTGGAAGCCCTTCTTTCTTTCCTTCCAATGTACTTGCTGCCACAGGTTGATTTGTCACGAAGTTTGCGTTGAAATTAATCCGGATCTCATCTTATAATATAGATATTGTTTTTACTGGCCTTTAGCTAACTGATACTAATAATAGCTGTATCAGAGTAATATTGAACTCGAATTTACAAAATTCCAGCTTATGTACATTGAGTTAATTATAGGTCTTCAGTCCTCAGGTTGGTCAGTTGGCAAAGATAACAAATCATGTGTAAATTGTTGGATTTGATTGACAAATGAAATTATGAAAGCAGGTTGCTTTTCACATTTGTTGGTTGGAGGATTTCATCATGATCTGACATCACTTAGAGAACCATTAGAAAACTAGCTGGGAGTGTTGCGAGACAGGTGTTTCGACCCACTAGTTCGGAACTCTTCATCAGTACATCTCCACCGCACTGAGGCTCGAACCCACGACCTTCTGCTTACAAGGTCAGAGAGCTCTTAGACCCTTCATCAGGCACTGGGACCTGATCCAGTGAACAACAGACGAATGCTAACTTTCACCAATTCTTGACATAGCGCGACCAACTCACAATGCCTTCTTCGACGAGTAACTCTCGTCACCTTCAACTTGCTTTATCCCACTGGTCGAGGCTTCCCACTAGAACCTCTAGGTAACTGCCTGAATAGGGCCAGTCGCTAATGATCATCAGATCAATTTTTAAGTACTGATTTTGTACGGACATTTTTTGATTGGTTGGAGGATTTCATCATGAGCCATCATCATGGGCCATTGGATCGAGTCACAGTGGCTTAATAGTCTACGAGCTCGCCTTGTGGTGACTAAAAGATCCTGGTTTTGAACCCCAGTCGATGGGTGCGTACTGATGAAGAGTCCTAAATTAGTGGGACGAAACGGCAGTCTGGCAGTATTCCCAGCTGCATTTCCAATGGTTCTCTCACCGATGTCAGCTCATGATGAAATCCTCCGACCAATGAAACAAAATCCCTACAAGCCAATACTTGAAAATTACCAAATGTGTGCTGATTTTTTAATTCATAGAGTGGGGTGAGTATTGGAACCAGATCACATTCTGCCTTAATCCGTCATTCTTATTCAGACTATCTGGATTCCATTTAATGTGAAGTGCTTCTGATATGAGACATTCTTTATGATTTCTAGAATTTTTCCAGATAATTTCAGTACTGTCAAAATCAATTTTTTTGGCCTGATTCTATGGGGATAGTGGTGGATCTCTGGCCGATGATTTTTAAAGCCTTCCTAGTTAAACTGGATTTCTCACTGGTCGAATAGAGGCTTTATGGTGTTCATTTCTTATGACTTTGGTTTTTCGCTAGGTTTGCCTGATGTATATATTGCATAACATTTTAAGTATTTTATTTTATAGACACAGTTAGGTTGTGAAGTCTTAGAGATTCTGTCATCCACATCTAAAAGATTGTTTTTTAGTGAGCCTGTTGTATTGAAGAAAACTCTGATGTTGTTAGGACAAACAAGCTTCTTTGTTAGGCATGAATTATGCATGTAGTGACATTGTAACTTTATTGGTCAGTTTTGGTTCGTTTGTTTGTGCCTTTATTTCTCGAGGTTTTGTAAGTATAAGGTACCATGTATTTTATGATTCCATTGTGGTTAAAATTTATTTTGATAAAGTCTCACAGTGTTTGTTATACAGTAATATTTATTGAGGACGACATCTCGACCACATTTTATTGTCGCTCATCATCATATCAAGGCATTATTCACACAACTTTCTAACTTAGTTTATATAATTCCATATTTTTCATCTCTTTATTTGATAAGTAGTAGTATTTTTCATATATGCGGTATGAGTGATGAGCCATTCCTGTTCCACGTGTTGGGTATAGACTCTATGAACAAGGATTCAGTAATCAACCTCTCTCTCCACCTACATAGATTACTTCTTAGAATCTTAACCCCCTCCCACCCTATTGTGTGTTAATGCGTGAAGTGCAACTGCTGAGCCTGTTTCTGAATTATTTTTCTTCGTGGGGTCAACCATTGTGACCTTAGCTAAATTCTTGTTCCGACAGTCTGACTACCCTCCAGCCTTCTAGTTTGACTTGTGTAGTTCACCTAACTCACAGTCATTGCAGGGTATTTTGTAAATTATATTATTTTGTCTAATTGGGTCACCAGGGTCCTTTAACCTAGAGAGCTTGACTCTGAGTGAGTTTGTAGGTTTAAATGCCACTCTAATTCCTACTTTATTTAGAATCCTAAATAAGGTTACAGATATCCCCTCCTTATATGGTAAAACTACTGTAGATGCCTTATATTCTCTCTTATTTATGCTATCATTACTAGTTTCACCATTGTTTTTATTTTGCTTTTGACCTTTTCTGATCTTCCTAATGAATTTTATAGGATAGTTATTTAACACCAACGCTCCTCTTTCTGTCTGTTTCCTTTCATCATTTGAGTATTTTGATGTTATTGCTCGGTTTGTTAGACACTTAACTAAGCCTGCCTTCACAGACAGATAATGGATGAGATGAACTAAAGTCTAAATATCTATTAGCAGAATGCGTTGGGTTTTTATAAACGCTAGTGTGCAGTTTACCTTCTTCTATTTGTTTTATTTTACAATTTAACATA